CTTCATTATGCTTGCTCCTACCTCAGATGCCTTTAACTTCTTACTGTCTGAACATTTGAGACCAGAGAGCTTGAGAAGTAATAGCGGGTCTTTCTGACGTGACAGAGATTTGCAGTATTAAAAGCCCCAAGTTCTCTAATCTCTCTGCAGGGACCAAGTTCTTTTTAAGTTGGCATACAAAGTCATGTATGTCATTTTCATACATACATGTCATTCTCCATTCTGTCTGTTCCTCTCCTTTCTCCAAATAGTGCTCCCTTCTGCCTTCATGTCTGAACTAATACAGCTGCCATGGACAGTCTGGTAGCTTCTCACAAAACTAGAAACAGAATTGCCAAATAACCCAGCTCACGTGGAGCTTCAAAAAGAAGAGCTTTGGTAATCTGTTTGTCACCAAAATGGGGACATCTCATTTCCCATTCATTATCCAGTGTTGTGTGTCTTTTAACAAAGCACTCTATACCAGGACTAAAAACTATTTGGCAAACTTCTCTCTGCTATTTTCAGGAGTTTTATTTCAGAATTTGTCTCATCTTCTAGTGGCTTGTATCTAGATATCCAATAGTATCTGTTAACAGTACCTTTTTTGGAGACTGTGGCTCAAATAGTCCAGGCTGACCTTGAACTCACTATATAAACAAAGATGACTTTGAACTCCTGACCCTCCGTTCTCTACCTCCCAAGTGCTTGGTTATGGGCTTATATCACCAAGTCCAGTTTTATGTGGTTCTGAGAACTGAGCCTCGGGCTTCAAGGATGTTAAGAAAGCATGCTACCAACTGAGCCATCTCCTCAGCCAACAATGTGGGTCTTAAAGCTTGGCTTTCGTCCCCGGTACATCACTGCTACAGGTAATGCTAAGGTGATTGCTGTGACTTGCTAGTCAAGGTCCCCCCTGTGAGCAGAGCTTACTGGCTGGGGACAGAGCTTGCTGGTGCTGCAGCTGGGGATATCAACACGAGTGCATCGTCCTGCACCAAGCTTGTCATTTGTTAGGAACAGAAAAGAAAAGCTTCTTGACTACTAGTCACATACACAAAACTCTAGGCATGTTCAGAGTCATCAAGGAGGAAGGATCTCCAGTGAGTCTGTGTTCTACCTAGAGAGCCAGCGTGCCTCCCACTATGAGAACCCAGCTCTCCAAATTGAACAGGTACTCTGTCCGTAGAAGGGAGACCTTTGCCAGCGGGGATGGTTTGCTCAGTAACTTAGGTCATGTCGAAGTGTGAACAGTGCCTTATCCCTAGTGGGTGATTAGGATAACTTTGATATAAATGGCTCAGTTAATTAATGGGTACATCCTCATGGAATACCCACGTACAGCGGTGAAAGGAAGATACCAGATCTCACTCACCACAAACTAAAGGACCTCCAAACACACACCGACCGAAGGAATGGCTCACCCTGTCAAACCCCAGGACAAAGCTGCCTCCTTGATTGTACAGAGCTAACCACTCGGAGAAAGACCTTGTGACACCCTAGGACGGTGGCTCTCAACCTTCCCAACACTGAGACCCTGCAATTCAGTTCCTCAGGTTGTGGTGACCCCCAACCATAACATTATTTTCGTTTCTACCTCAGAGCTATAATTTTGCAACTGTTATGAATCATAATACAAGTATCTGTGTTTTCAGATGATCTTGGGCAACCCCTGTGAAAGGGTCTTTTGATCCCCAAAGGGGTCGCAACTTACAGGTTGAGAAAACTGCCCTAGAACAAAGATTGAAAGTGAAATACAGTGAAGTCTCATTCAACTGCATTAACAGAAGCTAAGAGATGGATTCTGGAACCTCAATCCATTTTGAAAATTTCTCTTAGATCATATTAGACAGAACAACCTGCATTTACCTGTATCTGACAGTTTTTTTTTTCCTTAAAACTATTAAAAGCTCCAAATTCTCTAATCTCTCTGAAAGCCTTTGTCACGATGGTTTGCCAAGACCAGAACTTCAGCTGTTTCTTGGGCCCCCATGTGATCAGGAGAGGAAGTGAGGAAGAGTGTGACCAGGGTTGTCACAACCATGGCGACTGAAAATGCAGGAAGTTGTGAGTTGCTCACCCCAGTACTGGTGGTGGACATTACGGGTCTCCTCACATGCAGAGGACAAAAGTTCTAGTCCCCGCCCAAATCCCAATTACAAGTCACGTGTTCAACATGATGCCTGTGCATGCCGCGTGCTCTATCCAGCGCAATGATTAGTGTTCTCTTGGTCATTATTAGCTATGCGGCTTTAGGCAAGTCAGAGGACTCCTCTGAGCCCCAGTTCTGTGGAAAACAGGGACTACATGCATAAAAATGCTTCTAATGTATGGTGGCTCACATGTATGCATATGTGTGCAGGCCAGAGGTTGATGTCCTGGTGTCTTCCTCCATGGCTCTCCATTCACTAAACCCCCATCTCTTCACTGAATCCAGAGTTTAGCATTTGACTAGCCGAGCTATTGACCCAGAGAGTTCCCCTGCCTCCACTTCACCAGACTTTTATCTAGGTCCTGGAGATCTGAATTCTGGTCTTCGCGCTCATGCAGCAAGTGAATTATCTACTCAGCCATCACTCTAGACCTCTTCGCTTCATTAAATTAATAATAATAATAATAATAATAATAATAATAATAATAATAATGACCCTGTAGATCAAATAAAAGCCCTGCCTAAAATGTTCAAATTCAAGGACTGCCTGGTAGGGGAATGATGGAGGTGATGGCTGGAGCTTTTGTTTCCTAATTGCTAAGTGAGTTTAATGTGGGTTAATTAATGATGCTATTGGTGAATGGAATTAGCTAATGTAAAACCTAAAACAGCATCAAAGGCGCACACAGGCAGGTGCCATCTAGGATAATTGAGGGAACAGAGGCCAGAGTAGAGCTCCTAAGGGTTGTGCACCAAGCTGCTGGGCAGGCCAGGGGCTGTAAGGGAAAACCAAGTCAGCCTCTGGCTGAGCCATTGAAGCAGGGAGGCTGGCTGCCAAAATGCCATCCTGTTTACAGCTCCTGTGTTTGAATTTTAGATTTGCTTGGGTCTTTGAAGCTGGGTTCCTGGGCCTTTCCTTGAGAATAAATTCCATTCTTTAGAAACCACAAAACACACTCCCATAGTCCCAGAGAGGAATGTGAGCTGACCTGGCTTCTGTACGGCCCCTTGGGACCTAAGGGACCTTTTCATTAGAAAAAATCCTCCACCGTGAAAAGACTCAACCTTTGTAACCTTTGCTTGCACCCTATGGATGGGGGTGGGGGTGGGGAGGGCCAGGTCTGTCTCCACTCTCTGAGCAAATGTGGGGTGGCCTCACAGTGGCAGCACCGAGCCGGGGCCCCGAAGACAGGCACTATCTGTCAGATCGGCACAAGTACAGATGCTCCCAGAAGACTCAGAAAACAGAAAACGTCATTAGCCTCCCCACTCTCCAATGCTCACAGGAGAGCTTCATGGCTGGGCAACAATGGCACCCTGCAGACTGTCACTTGTCTCCCTTTCCTACTCTGGAGAGCTGTACCTGACCCCCCTGCTGCTGCCCAGCATCCAGAGACAAGGGCGTATCACCAGCCAGGGAAAGGATACACATTCAAAACGCGAAGTATAATTTCCCCTGAACGCCAGTCATTTCTATACCATCATAAAGAGTCTGCGTGGGGTCCTCTGTACACCTCCTCAGCACAAAACAAAACAGACAACAACAAAAACCAACCAACCAACCAAAGATAACGGCCAGAGAATAGGCATATCATTTCAGCAAAATTCTATTTAGTTTTCCCTTCCAAAGATGCGACCTTCCAGGACACGACCCTTCAACATTGCCATCACAAATTGACAGAAAGGAACACATGGTAAGAGGTGTAACACACACCCTGCTGTCAACTCCAGGGAGGGCGCTTACGGTCAGTCAGTCAGTCATCAGGGTGTTTCCTAATGCTAAGTCCTTCCAAATCACTCTCTTAATAGTGACTTAGGCTTTAAGTGACTGTGACCTAGAATGTCTGTCATACATCTGAATGTCCCGGTCCTTTTCTATCCTTTATGCCCCTTTGCCTCTTTGATACTTTGAACAAACCTCAGTTTCACTCTGGGTTTGAAAATGTCCCCAAATGCCACTTTCAAACAGCAGGGTAGTGGCCCGTGGAGGAAGTGGGGAAGAAGTTGATTCTGTCACACTCCGCTTCTCTTTCCACTGTAATTTCAGTCCTGCAGGGGGTGTGTGCCCTACTGCCCGTGTCCAGCACCCTGACTGACCAGGACTTCTGCTCCTGCCTTAGCTGCCCCCTGGCGACGTGGATCCAGAGAACCAGAGCAGGGAGACACTAGCAGGGACCTCACCTGCTGTCCCCTCTGCCCCGAGAGCACACATTTATTTCACCCTGCTGGGCTGGAAAATCAAACCCTACCCTGTGCATGAGGCCCATCCACCCCATCCACCCCGGAACACGTTGGCTGGAAATGAAAACCTCCAATGTCGCAAAGACCTATCCACCATACCCCTCCCTCTCCTCTGACAACATAGGACTATGACATTGGGCCTCGGACTTGACTGGAACCCCAGACTGAATAGTAAGTCTCTTAGGACATGGAAACTACGCTGGGTCGAGGCGGGTGAAGAGTCTAGCCAAAGCCTCAGGTGCTGCTTGTCTTCTTCAGAGAGCCAGTCTCGGGAGCAAGCAGGAGAAGCACGTTTTCCCCCCACACCCCCACGGACGGCAGCACGTGTTGTTTTAGTAGCCTAACTACTCCAGTCTGCAACACACACAGTTCGGCACGCTAACCAAAGTTCACTCAACAGCAGAATGGGGTTTCTGATGTTTTCTTCAAAACAAAGGAACAACCTCGGGTCTGCGAACTGGTAGCACAGACACACACATACGCAGTAATCAGTAACGCTTGTCCAAACGCAACCCAAAAATGACATGCATTTCAAAAATGTACTCGAGATCCTTCCTAGCCAAGGACACCTCGGTTTCATCCGCAGTTGAAGAATACGGAAGACCAAAAGTGGAAGACCAAGGCTTACCTGGTGCCCCAGGGAAGTCAGTTTCTCCCCGCCGCAGAGGATGGGTCTCCGAAGAGGGCGAGCAGGTAAGGGATGCGGGGCAGGTCTCACAGGTGGCCGGCAGCGGCGTCCTCTCTGCAGCAGGTGCTCCACAATCCTGGGGCCAGCCGGGCGATAGCGACCAGGCTCACTCCTGCCGCCAGCTCCACTAACTATTTTGAAGAGCTCCCGGGAACTTTCTCTTGACTGCTCCCCGTCCTGTCTGCGAGTTTCCTAACAGTCCGGCCGGGAGGCGTCCCCCTCGCTGCAAACCCACCCGCGCCACCTAGAGGCCGCGTCAGGCAACGGCATTGCTGGAGCCTGGGCACGCCAGCCTCAGGCTCTGGCGCCAATCGCACCTGGTTCCACAGGACTTCCTGCCCCTTCAGGGACAAGCTGGAATGTGTAAAAAGGATTGATTGTTTTTGGGTTTTTTTTTGCATGTGTGGGGGTCTTGCGCCTATCAAAACAACTTGGGCCTTTGGGCACAAGAGTGCCGAAAGGTGAAATTTGCATGAAGTTATCATTAATCAGAACTTGAGCACAGCCCATTCACCCCCCCACCCAACCCTCCCCAAGACGGTTACAGGTATGGATCCTGTTGTATTCATTCACTCTTCTTCGTGCGGCCCTGAATACATTCGTGTATATTTCAACCCCTCCCCCACTACCTTCTCCCCTCCCACCCACCCCAGGTTTGAGTCATCATCTTCTCCTCAACCCCTCCTCTCCCCCATATGCTCCATGTCATTCCATGTAACCATATAGGCTCCAAAAACTTCAGATAAACATATGTACTTCCCGTAACTATAGATGAGAGTACATGCCTCATATA